CCATGGTGAAGATATATGATAGGGAACACCTTGATATGTGCAAAATTAAGAACACCTGATCTGTCCATGACATAGACTGACCAGGGGAATCCAGGCGGAACGCTATGATCCCTTATTGATGTCACCTGTTCAATCGACTTCAATCAGTGTAGATGAAGGGGAGGAGACAGGTTAAAGAAGGATTTTTAAGCCTTGAGACAATTGAGACATGGATTGTGCATGTGTGCCATTCAGAGGGTGAATGGGCAAGACAAAATATTTAAGTGCCTTTGAATGGGGTATGGTAGAAGGTGCCAGGCGCATCGGTTTGTGTCAAGAACTGCAACGCTGCTGGGTTTTTCACGCTCAACAGTTTTACGTGTGTATCAAGAATGGTCCACCACCCAAAGGACATCCAGACAACTTGACACAACTGTAGGAAGCGTTGGAGTCAACATGGGCCAGCATCCCTTTGGAACACTTTCGACACCTTGTACAGTCCATGCCCCGACGGATTGAGGCTGTTCTGATGGGCAACTCCATATACCACAAACCCCAGAGGTGCCTTATTGCTATTATAAACTGGTTACCAAAGTACTTAGAGCAGTAAAAATACATGTTTTCTCATACCCGGTCTGATATACCACGGCTTTCAGCCAATCAGCATTAAGGGCTCGAACCACCTAGTTTATAATTCCCGTTATAGCGTCTGTGAGCGCACAGGCAGCGCCATTGAGGTAATCTCCATTTTGAAGTAGTACATCGATGGCCCGGTTGCAACCCGGTTGTACTCCAACCGGGTCATCAGGAGGGATCCCGTGTAGCTCAGTTGGTAGAGCATGGCGCTTGCAACGCCATGGTTGTGGGTTCGATTCCCACGGGGGCCAGTCTGAAAAAATTTATGCACTCACTAACTATAAAAGCGTCTGCTAAATGACAATTTTTTTTATTTTTTTTATGAATTTGGAAGTCCCACCCAGTTGACTACATTAAAATGGTGGAAGCCAAGATTGTCTATTATTTAGATATGATAGTCAAGTGACCACTCTAACAATGGAAGGAGGTGAGATCAGGTGGGACCATTCTAGCCAATGAGAGGGCAGATACACCTGCGAACAACAGGCCATAGAGATAGACAGAGGACTCATCTTTGTATCTGTGCCATTAAGATGTTAAGATGGCGTTGCAGTGGATAGCAGCCTTTTTATGGGCTCCTGACTAATTCTGCTATTTTGTGTGTTTTTCTTACACTGATCTTAACTTTTTGTTTTACATAATGTCTCCGCTTTCATTTTCTATGACCGAAAACAGCTTCAGGACATCTGAACAGTGATCACTAACCTCAATTTGGATGACAATTTCTACTTCAACGAGTCGGCAGCGCTGGACGTTCTGCTTACTCCGGACCAGGCCCTAATCCCCGGGTCTTGAAAGAAGAAGTGACGGCACAAGAGAGGCAGACGAGCCGGCATCCTGATGAGACTACGTTGGTGAGTAAATAAACCCTATGTCCTTTTGATTGGCTAACGTACAGTCACTAGAGAACAAGCTGGACGAGCGCCGTTCGAGACTATCCTATCAACGGGACCTGAACAACTGTAATATTGTATGTTTTTCTGAGTCGTGGCTGAACAAGGACATGGATAATATACATCTCGCTGGTTTTTCCATGCATCGTCAAGACCGGACGGCAGCCTCGGGTAAAACAAAGGGGGGAGGAGTCTCTTTGTTAACAACAGCTGGTGCCTGATCTCTAATGTTAAGGAAGTATTTTGCTCTTCTGAGTTAGAATACATCATGATAGGCTGCAGACCATACTATTTATTTTTTTACGCTATCTATTTACCACCACAAACCGATGCTGGCACTAAGACCGTACTCAACGAGCTGTATAGGGCCATAAGCAAACAACAAAATGCACATCCAGAGGCGGCGCTTCTCGTGGCCGGTGATTTTAATGCAGGGAAACTGAAATATGTTTTACCTCATTTCTACCAGCATTTCACCTGTGCAACTAGAGGTGACAAAACTCTAGATAACCTTTACTCCACACACAGAGACGCATGCAAAGCTCTCCCTCACCCTCCATTTGGCAGATCTGACCATAACTCTATCCTCCTGATTCTTACTTACAAACAAAAACTTAAACAGTAAGTACCAGTGATGCGTTCAATACGGAAGTGGTCGAATAAAGCAGATGCTAAGCTACAGGACTGTTTCGCTAGCACAGACTGGAATATGTTCCGGGATTCATCCGATAACATTGAGGAGTTTACCACATCAGTCACAGGCTTCATTAATAAGTACATCGACAACGTCGTCCCCACAGTGACCGTACGTACATACCCCAACCAGAAGTATTACAGGCCCATCCGCACTGAGCTAAAGGCTAGAGCTGCCGCTTTCAAGGAGCGGGACACTAATCCGGGCACTTACAGTGAGGGAAAAAAGTATTTGATACCCTGCTGATTTTGTACATTTGCCCACTGACAAAGAAATGATCAGTCTATAATTTTAATGGTAGGTTTATTTGAACAGTGAGAGACAGAATAACAACAAAAAAATCCAGAAAAAAGCATGCGTTTTTCTGGATTTTTTTGTTGT